GGAGGTCGGACCGGAGCGAAGCGGAGACGGAACGCATGTAGTGTAAATTAGGGGTAAGGTTAAAGCAGACAAAGAGTTGATGTGTGTCTTATCGTGTGTTCTTTCTTTAGTCGAAACAAAATGAGTTACGTCCTGACGTCTGTCATAAAAGGTAACACCTCCAGAGGTGTAACCAAGAAGAGATGTACATTATAAGGTCAATTCATTATTATAGTAGAGAGAAGATGTCAGAGTGTTGGGCAGAGTCTCTGCTTTAGAGCAGAGCTCCTGTGTTGTGTTTTGGTTCAGCCCAAGGTCTGMCTGAGGCCTGTGTGCTGAGTGCTGTATGAACCTGATTGGAGTCAGAAGATTGAAAATAAAGTTTTAAAGGAGAAATCCAGCGGATTCCTGTTTATTCGGACATACCATTTTGAACAATGCATACAATAGGTTGAAACTAATATTAGCTAACCAGCTACTCAACAGGTCAGGTTCCTCTAAAAGAAACCTAAAACTAATGAAATATAAAATAGTATTTTACACTGTGTAAATATTACCTATATCAGAGGACAAATCAGTTTGTAATATTAACTAATTTATCTTAAATTGTAGCATGATTCAACAGAATGCTACACTTTCTAGATATGCTACACAAGCTAATATCTGCTAACCAGTTCTATAAATAACACTGATTACATCAGCTTTATAAGTTTATTTTAATTTTAAACTGTTACATTATGTTCTGGTCAGATCACATTGAGCTAAATAAGATCAAATCGGCTTACTTGTGTTGTGAAATGAGATGTTTTCCTGTTTATCTTCTGTTGGTATGTCCATAACACACAACTTTCTGMCATTATTTAAAACATTAGATTATATACACTTTTGTTTCCAAAATGCACAGTAATGRTAAATTGTCTGTTTATGCGTAGCCACTTAGCTTCTACTGTAGGTTACACGGTCACATGGTTTCCACACTCTACTGTGGTTCTATATAAACTGCTTGTAGATTATTTATCACATCGCCCCCTGTTGGCATTGATCAGAATAGGCATCTCCAATGGCCTCTTTTGGGCGTATAATATCCTGCCCTACGGACATGTTTGTGGTTTTAGCTCATGTGACCACTATACTGATACTTGTGTTTGAGTGTATGTAGATGGGTGCTGTTTCTCTGATTTAATTATTTAACTGGGATTTACTGAGACACAACCTCAGCCTGTTGGAGGGATAACAAAAACAACACCTTTGTGCAAAAAAGCAATAACATAGACTTTAGGCAATATACGTACACTCTTCTTTAAAAAAAAGAATATCTAATGCAAATTGTACAACTTGTTTTGTGAGTGATTCAGAAAGACTGTTCTTCATTTGGTTCTGTATACACTTTCTTCCGTTGCTTCCCATAAAAATCTGTAAGGCTTTTTTTTTCATTCATCAATTTAAGCCTCACCAGGAGTCTTTGATATGGGGTTTGGTTCCCTCTGATCTCCACAAAAAGCTGACACCTTTGAGCTCAATCAGAGCTTTTAACCATGAGAATAAAAAGAAATCGTTTAAAAAGACAGAGAAATATGACACCTTCAAATAAWGTGCAATGACTAAACAGTAAAGTGGTTTTGAATGCAGTGCTCCATTCAACAAAAACAACTTGTCAATGTGCTTTTTGTATTTCCAGAGACCAGAGTCTGGCTTCATGGGTGTTCAGCCATGACCAATTTGATCGAGCCGGTGCTGACAAAAGCAAGACGCTGCATAAACTGTAAAAGAGTCCGTTTTGACTTTGATCCATTCACCCTACTGGCTCTTCATATAAATAAAAAGGCTTTTATTCAGTCAGTATTTGCACCGTGTCCCCTCCACCCTCACTGGCCCGGGGGATTCTCTTTAATCCCTCCGCACAGAAACGACTATAAAGTTCGCCCCAAATAACACCGGCTCACCTCGTCTCATCAGAGTAGAAARTGTCAGGACTTTTATTTCTCTTTTGGTGCTACCTAAACTGTAATCTTATCACACCCCTAACTGTAATTACTGTACATTATTTTATCAGCTTCTTTGGTTAAAGCTGATGAAATAACCTTATGAACTATAGTGTCTGATGTAATCCTCTTTTACAAAAGCACAACGCACATCTTTCAGAATGTTCACAGTGTTCAGATTTTCTTGGTTTCATTTCTTTATCCTTCTTTGTGTAACAGGAGTGACCTTCCTTTGCATTGTCCTTTTTGCAGAATATACTAAGCTTTCCACTCTTTAGCTTTTCCTACATGGAAAATGGTGATAAATTGTTTTGTTTTGGTTTTTGTGTTGTTGTTGAAGTTTTTATTTTATTTTTTCTTGCGAAACTCTGAAGATGAAATGTTTCTCAGAAAAAAGGTCAACAGATTTAGTAACGGTAATTTTCTTTGTGAAAAATGGAGCATTAGTGGAAGCAGCAGTGCCAGAAGAGCCTGCAGGAATACATTTATAGCAACTTGTCTTGGTGGAAGTGAGGTTTTTAAAAATATATTGGTGCCAAAGTTTGACCAGTCAGAAAATATGTTTTCAGAGCTCACATTTATGACATAATAGTTGTTTTTACCAGTACTCTTCAAAAAATAGCTGTTTCTTGTGTGAGAAAGGAGATAGTTTTTGTTTGTGTTGGACAAACTGTCTCTCAGAACTGTTCCCATTTTACCCACATTCAGAATGCATTAGACCAAAATGGCTAAGATTGCGAAGTATCATTTATTTTCTAAATTAAGCTAATAACCTCTCTAAGTGCTGTTTTTTCAATTATTCTATTTAAATTTCAGCACTCCAGGTTAAAGTGTCTCTGACTTTCGATCCAGCATTKTAGTAGTGTCCTGTCTGTCTGTGAGAGTGTAAATTAGCCATCGAACGTGCTCCGTGGCCCGGAGCTGCAGCCGAGCGGGGGGTCGGTAGTTGTTTCCTGCCTCAGCAGAATGAAAGACTCGAGAGTGGGAGCGGTAATGGAGGAGTGGTGTGTGTGTGTGTGTGTGTGTGTGTGTGTGTGTGTGTGTGTGTGTGTGTGTGTG